TATATTATTAATAGTTTATACTATATATAAGTATTATATACATAAAATTTTAAAGTTATATAACTAAGAATTAATAATATTTATTTAAATATTTATTTTACTTTTACATTTAGCATACTATCTATTATCTATATTTAAAATTTTAGGTATATAGCTATAGTAGCTAAAAAGTTAGAGCGGGTGGACTGTAGATAAAAACTGTGCGTCAGGTGAGACCGTGCGTTAGCTGATTAATCACGGTAGTCAAAATCCCCATCTAGTTAATTAAATTTCTAGGCGAGCCAGACTAACGCGTATTGTTGCCTCCTCTTGCATCAACTTGAGCTTGTAAGTTAATCTTAAATTACTGCCTAACTAGGTATCCACAGCATTAGCGCCCACAATTTTTGCAACCACCAACAGCGCCGACGATGTTAGATTAGGCGCCCGCGCCCATGCAGATGCACGCCGCAACCTTATTGTGACGTGCTGGTAAGGAGGTTATTTGGACCTCGTTTGTGGGCCATCTCTACGACGAGTTTTCCGGGGTCTGAATAAAAGCAAAGACCTAAAACGCTCATGCACAAGAGTCACATACGGGACGAGTTTTGAGTTAATTGAGATCGAGGACTGGATTTGGATCTGAGGAGTCTTAGGAATGAGTGGATTGAGAGGTGTGATTCCAAGTGGAAATGGGAGAGGAAAGGGGAGGCGAAGGGGAGATGAAAGGGGACCTGGCCGCGGGGAAGGTCGTGGGCGCGTAAAGAGAAAAGAGATAGACATCGGCGATGGCTGGACTGTGGTCACACATTCCACTTCATCCAGAAATCGTCACACCAACCCTAGAAACAAAACCCCTGCGACTATAGATTCTCGACCCACTCAGATCGTCTCTGAACTCACTGCACAAAAACTCGAAGCAGAGTTATCGAAAATGAAACAGCAGTGGAAGACCACAACATGTGCTCAGCAACTAGCTGAACTACTAGGGAAGAGAAATTGGGATGTCAATTCCGCCGTTTGCATCGGGATCGGGAGTTTCAGTCTTGATTGGGAGCACCGGAAAAGAAGTCTGTGGCAGTTAGTCTTATTCCTCGCTATCCTCGATCTCATCTCCCCACATCCCCAGACCATCAACCTCTACGCCCAAGACCCGGTGTTTACTACCCTAGACCGCGCATTCCTGCAAAACCTCTCCATCGCCGTCTCGACCTCAAATATCGAGACGTTCATTAAAACATCGTCATGGGTTTTCGCGCCATTTGTGGATTGGCATTTACTTCTTCCGGTGTTTTTGAGGGATAGGGATCCAGTTTTGTACGTGGGGAATGAGGTTTTGGAAGATTATGGGCGGTTTGGGAGAGCGGATGTGGAAATAGGGGACGGGAAGGACGGGAAGCGCGGGAAGGGGACGGTGGTGGAAGAGTGTGGGAGGATTGGGAGGGCGTGGTTGGGGAGGAGGGAGGTAGCTAGAGTGCCGGAGTTTGGGCTGCATGGGGACGCGTTGCAGGGGCTGGTAGTTTGTTGGAGAAAAGAAATCTAACGGTTTCCAGCAATGTGGAAGACCGGCCGTGGCTTGGGATTTAGCTCGCACTATCCACAAATAGCGCAAACCCGGATTGGGAGACATCGCCATAAACGCGAACATATCTACTGGATATTTGAGCATTCAGGTACGCAGGTCAAGAGGGAGGGTGGGTGGCATGTCATTCTTTCAACTCCTCATAGAACGCCATCTTTAACCCCTATCTAACTCGACATATACTGGCCTTGGAAGGCTGCTATCTAAGCCCCTGAATTGTTTCCCGAGTAGCTTCACTGCCTGATCCGATAGCATGCAATCCAGTCAGCCTTCATATCATTCTAACCGGACAACGACAAATTCCAAACATGGGCGGCTCATCATTCCCTATCCGCTTGAACTCGTGACCGACTCATTCAAAATTCGGCATTGCATAAACCCTCTTCATCCACTCCGCCGACAGCACACCCTGGAACACAAGGCAGCCAAGCATACACCATTGCTCGCAGCCTGGGGAATAATATCAGATTCCGGACCCTCAGCGACCCTAACTCTACCAGGCTATCTCCATAAGACGTTACCAATGTATGATAGCCAAGCCTTGTGTCGATACGAGTCACTAGCCGGGCGTTCTGTATCCTACCTAAAACTCCCCCTTAGAAGGGAAGTGTTGCTGCTTGTTAGTCAGCAGCTTGCTTCTGCTGCCACATTGATGGGGCAGTGCTTGATGATATCTTTCTCAGTGAGGAGGCATACGAAGGCTTTGGCTCATCGGGTCAGTGAAGCTAATAAGGGCTAGGCGATAGGGTGAATGTACGAGTTCCGCGCTTTGATTTCTGCGAATTCTTGCCCCGTGAGCTCTCTTCGGGGTTTCCGGGCGGCGCAGTATGTATGGGTTTAGTTGTTGTTGAGTTTGAGGACTGGAGTGGAATAGACTGAAGGGATGATATAGTCTCAGTGCTTTGTATCGCATATTGCGGTAAAATATTGTCTCGTAAGCGTAAAGAGATATGATCTATAGCGAATGACTGAGATGCCTGAGGGGAAAGATGTCAGTGGTTCTAAGATCTAATGATAAAGTGAATCTTCCATCACTCTCTCTAGCTTCCCACCCAAATAGCAAGAAGTAAGTCGCAAGTGTTAACAAGATAGCTCTTCAACCATCCAGAAAGACGCCCAGCGCAGCACTTGCTTTATATGCAGTAATTGCCTTAGAACAAGGCTGTTTCCTAATTGAAAGGAAATTGGGTACTGACTCTTCGTTTTCCTTCGTGTAGGATGACTGCGAAGTTCGAAATTGCTTATTCGCCGCAAGACCGAGTTTCTCTATAATAGGAACAATCCAGCACGTTGACCAACATAAGCACATAATCCCTCACCGATTCTAGAAGAAACCTAACTTTCTCCGCGTTGTCAACGTCGAAAATATATTCGAAGATATGGGCTACCATGCTGCTGTCAAAGAAGTGGGCCATTTCAAGAAGTATCTCGACTTAGGTGGTGTGCTTGGGAGAGTAACGTTTAATGATCTTGGTCGCATTTATCTAGACAAATTGAGGGCGAAATGCTTAGCTAGGTATGCCATGTTCTCTTTCCTCTTTGGGGGTAGCATTGATAGCAAATATGTTCATTCCTACGACTAGAACACTACGACGCTTAAATAGCACAACATCACCTCCATTAGTAGCATGAAGGATGGCTGATCCTTGGCACAGACATGTTTCAACTTCCGTATTATTCACCATTCCGCCTGCCAAAATGCCTCCCCGTTTACACTGCAAGCTTAGATTGATCGTAGCAGCATGATGTCGGGGATGACATACCTTCTATGAGAGCATTATAATCAGGGATAAATATAATTGAGTCATGCCCGGGATTGTAATACTCGCAGCATCAGGGGGTAAAGTAATCGATGATGATCTCGATGGGGGTGGTGAGCATCTGGGGACTGTTGGAATGACTATGGACAGAAGCACATGCGCTACATACATTTGCTAAAAGGTTGTGGGTATGGAGAACTTTTGGTATTGGATTGGATCGTTAGGTGAATGGGATAGTTGGCTGGCAGTAAGTTAAATTTTGGACGGAAAGGGTCACATAAAGACTCACTCTTTTATGGCACCCATTATGTCCACTTATTTCCGAGCACTAATCCATCTCGCCTTACCGTAGAGGGAAGGGTCATACATGTCTTAGTGTGTCTGCGGTCCTTCACTATGCATTCTGTGGAAGCGTATTTGCTGTTGGGCCGAAGCCGTGTCGTTCACATTGAACAATATGCTGCGAAGGCTACTATTTCCAGGGATTTTAATATGGCTTGGAAATGGTATCTAGCGCTATCTCGATTCATCTTTCGGGTAATAGAAACAACTGTAAACGTTGCGTCCGTCTCTTAGTCTAGCTGCAGGCGCTAATACGAGATTTAGCATACAGCACCACTACTAATGTTAGGGGATATTTTCTCTTCTATCTCTTCTAATGGTGCAATAGTCACCATTGTATTCGAGCACGTTCCAAAGATCGATCACCATAATCTGGACCTCCCGTCAAGGCCCTCAACTCGAACCCAACCTTCTCAGTCATTGGTCCTTCCCACACATATCGTTTAGTTCCTATAGATCGTGAGTCCCTTCAAACAATCCACTAACATCATAATATGCTTCCATGCCCTTGGCTTGTCTGAGGAAACATCAAAACGACATTAGCGTGGAAACGGTACGGGAGGAACTGATTGCAACGATCGGCTGGACTAGTTCGTGCACCTGTTGCGCTGGCTCGCCAAATTCAATGCGACCATACACCAAAGCGTTGCGGAGATTGGATATTGTCGCCTCATTGTCTAGGTATCAGAACGAGGCGCGCTAGAAGAAGAAGTGTTTTGCACTCTGTGGGGATTTGCAGCCAATAGTGGTGGAGTATAGGAGCTCGTTCTTGGGTGCGTTGTAGGCTATGATTAGCTCGGGGTTACTAGTTAGCTTATCGGAGTTCGAGGGGCTCGGCTCTATTTCCGATTGCTTGTTCGCTCTTGATAGGTTCATGAGAATCTACAAGCTAACTAGCAAATGTCCAGGGAGTCTTACCCGTCTTTAAGAGCTTTTTGCTCTATTTCTTTTTCTGCCTGTGGGATTCCAGTGCCGTTTAGGTAAGTACTACAATTGCCGTGAGTTAGACAACGGGAATAGCTCACTCGAAACATGTTCTGCTAGCTTTGGCGATGACCGGTGCGCTGGTAACGAGATTCAGCTCGCTTTGTTAAGGATTTCACTCAAATATACGTAGGTCATGAACTTTTGGCCAGTAGGTCCTAAACACACAAACATAAGCATTAAGAACGTAGTATCAAAGAGCAGGCCGCATATTAGACTGGAGATAACCTAACCATGGAATGAATGGCCCGTTCCCCACCCCCCAAGAATGTCCTGCTGTGTGTTTCATTCCTTAGTAGTCCCATTCAACCACCAACACCATATCCCCAGCTTGAGAAGCTTTCAGATAGAACCCCGCCCTATCATCCTCCGCCTTTGCTTGACCTCGACATATAACTTTAACCACAGAACCCATCCCATGAACGCGATAGAGATAACTCCTCACAGTTTCAACATGCTTATCATGCTCCTTCGTCATCTTATCGAATACAAGAATGATATTCGAGTGAACGAGGCAAAAGGAGCAGTTGATTGCCGGCGATTGCTCAATCACCTTTGAAAGATTCTTATCCGGATCCGTAACATCAATGCGAGTAAGATAGAACGCGTCCATTACGTTCGAGACGCAGTCTCTAGAGGCGGGATACCAGAGGGAGGCTAGCGGGAGGTTATCCCCTTTGTAAGGGATAGGTTCGAAGCCCTGCATGATGGCGTAGGCATTCACGAATGAGTTGATGGGGCAAGTTGCTATCGCGGGTTTGAATTTCGACATTGCCGCGTCTTTGTGGAATTTGAGCGGGAATTGGATGGGATCTAGTTTCCAAATCGGGATAGTAAGACTTTGATCTTGGGTTTCTGGGTATGGCTTTGAGGGTCTGAAAATTCTGGTGCGCAGAATATACAGTCTGGACTAGCAATTGCTTACTGTGGCTTCAATGGATCCTTCGACTTGTTGAAATCGTTCCCAACCGCTGGCCTCGCCCTGCGTCCGTTAGTGCTGCTGATATGAAGGGATTTATAGTCTAAAGACGTACGTCCCCCATACAGAAAGAAAGGGCTATCGGGAGTGGCGTGTAGATCTAGGCGCGCCCAACACGTACCAGTAATTTGAGAGCTCGAGGAGAAATTTAGTAGTTGAAGTTTTTGGATCTAAGTGTGGTCGTAAAATCACCTGCAAACATGCCTTTACCTGGGTTGCCTTCGCCACAGGCACAGCCGGGTCTCTGACTGCGTAAATGGCGGTCTTCCGATCACCGCTCTCTGAATTCTGTCCTCTAATCATCGCCTCCTGGTCACCGCTTCTGATTACTGTGCGAATGACGTGTCCTTTCCGATCTCGAAATTATCCACAAGTACCATAAATACATAGAATTCGGCAAGCCATGCATCAAAAAGATGTTAAAAGAGATTTGTAGGTTGACATGCATTGAAGAAAGCGGTGATTCGAACCGAAATTCATTGGAAATGAGGCCTCAAACCAATTTTTTTTTTTTTTTCACCTGGCGGGTTTACTTTGAATGCCATTTCTTTCTATTATAACCATTCTATTTTTCTTCTATATATCAGGTATCGTCTCAGTATTGAGCTAGCCAGTAGCTCGTTTGCCGCCTGTTCTCTCGATTCTGCCGACGGTCCTTGATCATGACCTGGCTGGTATGGGGTACTCTCCCTTCACGCTTAGCGGTAGCGCATTACAATGGCAGTAGCCCGCGAATTAATGCACCTCACGCTCATTAATATCGTGCCCCGGCATTTCAATAGCCTTGTGCTTTTTTCTTTCGTAGCTTTCAGTGTAATAAGAGAATTGCGCCGAGGATGAGTACTAGGCCGATGAGTGCGCTAAGAATGATGCTGGGAAGTGCACCCTTTAAAGACCTAAATCTTTTGTTTTTAGACGCGGCGATTGAACATGGGCTGGCGTGCCGAATGTCAAGGTGGAGGTCAAGGGTATTAAGGTGGAACTGTTGATGCGAGTTGCAGAGAAGATATTCACGTCCACGTCTATCTTCTTGCTCGGCTTCTGATGCAAAGCTCTTTTACTGTCATAAAAACTATTTTCCCTTGTATTAGCAGATTGTGAGTTACGTTTCGGATATCACTCACTCTTCCCAAGGATTGTCATACTGTGTTGCTTATACAGATAGCTTATTCAGGAGCGAGCGGCGGTGGTAAAGTTCCCTAACACATCGCATAAATTTTAAGTGTTCGTTTCGTCTTTAATTTTGTAATCACAGTCTATATGGTGCTGTAGTTAGAATTTCGTGGCTTATATGGCTCGTGTCCGAGACGTTTGTATTTGAGTCATCACTGAATCGACCTAAGATGCACTATTCTACAGTTGCTTTGTTGTTGACTGAATATGCTGAGTTAGCAACAAAGTTGTGACAGGGTCTTGAGTGTTTCCAATACGCACACATAAACTACTAGATCTCGCTCTCCAGTTCCATAATCCACGTGTTAACTATCTTTGATGCAGCTCATGCATTCCTTAAACTTTGGTCCTAGTTCCGGTGTGTTTGTGCCTGCGTAGTTAATCAGTATCTACAGCATCCTCCATACATGTAGGTGGATCGTGCCTAGGCTCTCTGCCGCGTTTACAGCGCACAAGAGCCTGTTTGCTTACACCTAAGCGCGCTGCTTCTTCAGACCTTTTGCTCTCAAGATGCTGCTTAGCGTTCTTTTAAGCAATTATATCCTCTCTCTATCCCTTTGTTAAGGTTCTTCTTTACTTTTCAAGTAGCTTTATTAGCCATCTAGAGGGTAGTGTCACAGAAATGCTACGGACAAAAGTCGAAAGCTCAAGGAGGAGCATTGAATTTTTACGTACAGTATCTAGTGAATGTAAAGATGTTGCATGAAGGGGGAATATAGTTAGGCAAGTTCAGACAAATGTTTGATTAGGGTAGCTCATGCGCTAGCGTGAGGCCTATACCCGAGATCCTTAGGAAGGCTTCCTCCAGAAGCCTAGTAGATGTCATAGGTTATTATTGTGGTACACTGCCTGTGTTAGACTTTACGCAAGTATCTCCTACCGCCATCATAGGACTGGCTAAGGAAATAAACCATGGTCATATTACGCACCAACATGTTCAAATTGCCATATTCAAGGCTATAACAAGCATTAATGCACTAGTCCTACAGCAACTGTAGACTAGATTTCATTCAGATATATTTCGTCTTATTGGGGTAGTTGATTGAGAGGCGTTCTCTTTCGGCGGGGTGCGCGATCGACTGGTGTGTGAAAGGGACAGCCAACCCCACCCAACTAGCATGAGCTGTTGCGTGGTTAGCTTAAGGGACAAGAAGGTAGCTTAAGGGGCAACAAGGAAGCAAATACTTACAAATTGGCTTTTTAGAATTGCATTAAGGCACGGGAATGCATGTAGGCCACCAAGATAATGTACCCGAGTCCACTGCCAGCTGCTAAAGGAATGGCAGCCACAATAAGAATATGTGCGAGTGCAACCGCAGCGACCACAGCAAGGGGAAGAGTGAGGTCGGTCAGTGCCATACCTCAGAATGGAGGTTGAAGTCAGGGTTGTTCACCCCAAGAAATGGCGGTCAAGGTCGGTCAATCCTGAAGCCAGGAGCTGTTGCAAGGCAAAATAGTGGGAGTGGATGATTTCAAGTCAGAGTGAGCTGTTCGCACTTACTCATGGAAATTGCGAAGCATCAATTCAGGCATTAGAAGGCAGACACTGCGCAGAGATAGTCTTTGGTAAATTTGGGGGCGCATTATGCGGAATGGCGGGAACTACTCAGGGTTGTTTCCAAGAGGGTGTGCAGATCCCAGACGAGTGGTCTGGCCCTGCGTTCACGTCGTGGGGTATATCGCACCGGTCCCATATTTCCGGCTTATTTTCGGTCTCCGTTCGTGCCCTTGAGCTTCAGGATAATTAATTAAGCTATTATTAACCTTAGAAAGTTCAGGAGCAGAATGGCACAGCAATCAGCTTAGGAAATTTCAAAATCTAACAGCATGCGCTCCTCACCATGGAGTACACGCCTAGAGCTTACTTTCAGTGACCAACATGTTACAAGGCATATTTCAACAACTAAGGTTTGTTCTTCTGAACCGACACCTTGAACTTGCGTTAGGTGTCCTTACAGTTTCTGTCCTCTTGCAACTCACCCACTCTTTTTGTACCTACTTGTCTCGTCCGGTAAGTAGAGATAGCATCTGGAATATTTCCTGTTGGATGCTTACTCTCCTAGAAAAATGTCCGCATTCTGTCCAAGCCATACTCACCTCTAACATGGTTTAAAAATTTCGATTTCATTCTTAACGCTCCGAGAACCATACTTCGGGGTTATCAGGATCGCGGCCATGCACAAGCTTTTGCCATACCATCATTAGGAGAATATACAGTACTAGCATGTACAGAAGATGACATTAAGGCTGTTTGTGACATCGACGAGCCGGTTCTATCTTTCCCTGAGGCCATGACAGATGTAAGTCATCAATCTCGCTCCCAGGATGCATAATGCTGAGTGCGGTTTAGCGGCTCAAGAATTACTGGACTATGTATGGATTCCAGGTCGGAGACATCGATCCACATTCTAGTATACCAATGAGGGTCATTAAAGTTCTATTGCGAATGCATCTCCCTGTGCTCCGACCTGTCATTGAAAGCAGAATACGGCAGGGGTTTGAGAAGGCGCTTGGTAAAGGGTGCAGGGTCGATGGTATGAAGTTCTGCTGGAGCTTTCATTAACTGTTGGTCAAGCTAACACTCGTGATAGGGTACACCTCCGTCTCCACCTATATGCTGTCGAGAACGGTGATAGACGAGATGAACGTTCGGATCATTCTAGGCGACGAACTCTGTAAGCGGACAGCTGTCTGTAGAAACATCCTGCCCAAGGAGAAGCTGATTGTAGTAGCAGAAAAACCCGGATGTGTCGACACAGCGATTCGCTATACTGAAGACGTGGTCGTGACTGCTGAGATTTGTCGACAGCTTCCATCGATCTTAACTCCGTATGTTGTTCCACAATTCATGCTTCACGAGAAGCGGAAGTAATCGGTTGCAGGGTTATCGCTCCTTTAATGATGGGCTACAGGCGTTCGATGCAAAAGCTTGCCGACTTTATCACTCCGGTCGTGAATGAGAGAATTCGTCGCCAACTAACAATGGATACATCAAAAACATACGTAAGCAGCCTTACGGAATCACCTTCTTGCCCTATTACTTACACAAACTTAAGGATGACTGTATTCAATGGATCATTGAGTCATCACGCACACCTGCTCAGCGCGCCACTAAACGGCTAGTCGGCCAGACCATCGGCATACTTATGGCATCTTCATATCAGATGTCCATGGTGAGCTCTTACCTTGCCATCCTTAACTAGATCTTCTTTCTAACCCACGTTGTGGCATCAAAAAAGACTTTAGTATACGTGCTGTATGCTCTGTGCCATCATCCGGAATACATTCCGCCCCTGCGAGACGAGATCACTAGAGAAAGGCACAATCAGTCGGAGGATCCATTCAAGAAAATGTATCTTCTAGATAGTTTTCTTCTCGAAGTGGCTCGGCTTAATCCACCTGAAGCCTGTAAGTTGGCCATCATGCTCAAAGCCCCTCTGCACTAACAGCTATCGAAGTGACAGTGCAAAAAAAGGTTAAACTGCCCTTCACACTACCTAGCGGTGTATATATCCCTCCTGGAAACCTGATAGCAGTTCCTCACCAAGCGCGCGCCCGAAACCCGGATATCTTCCCCAACCCGGATCAATTCGATGCACGACGTTTCCTGCCGAAGCATGAGCAGCAATGCGAGACCGAAGCTATCGCGAAGTTCACAGATGTGAGCTACCGATACTTGTACTGGGGGCCTCCTAAAAAAGCCTGGTAAGATAATGGGACCTTGGAGTATTGCGACGTCCAACTAACTCTAGGTGCAGTCCGGGGAGATGGTATGTGTCACATGCACTTAAACAAGTGATTGTGCATATGCTCATGAACTACGACTTCAAGCTTGAGAATAAGAGCGATACTGGGGTATTCTCCTGGACTACTATCATATTCCCCTCTCCTACGAGCAGAATTCTCTTTCGGAGAAGAGAACGGAGTTCTGGAAATTAGAGGGAAGATCTGTTGCTCTCTCGATATTGATTGTAGAAAGGTGCCGTCGTCCGCCATGTCTTCAATTGGAGTGTGTGTGTTCTAGTGGCAGGATACTCCACGTGCATTCTTGTTGATCTTGTTGTAATACAAAATTTCAGTCTTTAGACCCGATATTCCATGGATGGCCTCTTGAATAGTTTGTCCAACCTATAACTTGTCTACTTTTTTATAGCAGAACTCACATTGGCAAGTGATACTTAGGTATCTTCTCAGCAATTTTTTCGTTGTTGGACTATTTTTAGACTGTGTTTTGAACATTTGTTAAGTTTAGCTACGCTTTGCCAATTGTTTCACTCCCATGGCGTGGATCTACATGCCGTCCAATCGGCCGAGCTAGCCGGACTTCGACAGGCCGGACCAAAGTCTACGCCGTAGTTAACCCTCGTTCATCCTGAGGGTTCTATTGTCCGGAGAGTTGGCTCGACTTAAAACAACTCTATTCACTGCTCTTGGCTAGAGGTGATTGGAGAAGTCCCAGGTAGCTCCAAGAGGCCTCTGTGGTACTGCTGTAACCCGAAGCCCCCGATTGGTAACCTAGCTAGATTGCTCACGTCGGAGGCCCGTTTATCGTTCAGACGGGCGTCTAGACAAGGTGCGAAAGTACTACTATGCACCCGGACAATGCCCGAATACCTCATCGGATAAGTCGGACTGAGTCTGATAGACGTCTGTCAGAGTGGATAGCTAATTTGCCAAGCATTTCCACGTTGATCAATCCAGTCGTCTCATGCCTGGGGTGCCTAGACAATGGCGCCAGGGTGTATCGAGAAACCACGCCATGATGTTGCATTCCACCATGGGCGCGGGCAAGGCTGACGGGAGGGGCGTCCGCCGTCCAGGCCATGCTGTGTCTTCCTTGCCTCTCGGTGAGAAAGCAGAAGCCTGGCTAATCAACGACTGGATTCGAGAATTGTGGAACGTGGGTTGGCGCTCGACCTGCAGGTGTTAGGCACATTTGGGCGGGAGCCAAGGTGTTTAACCTAAATTGGGTCAAATTCTAAGCCGAGCATGATCTGTGCACCGGGCTCATTGTGTATTAGGTTGCCGAAGTTAGCCTTCACAAACAGCTTAACCAATGAATGGCTTAGTTTTTACGGTCGAACCAGAGTTCCTACCACCCAAAGGAACCCAGGGACTTGTACTGTGTAGTTGGGGGTACCCCCCATGTTCCATACCACTAGACTCGAGTCGAAAGGCGAATGGGTTGGTTCATAGACCAATGCATTTCGCCCCAGGATGAATGGGGATGGCAATCATATCCTGAGATGTTTACTTCGACGTCTTATGAACCAGGCCACTCATGCGCTACACTCCAGAAACATGGCATATTCTTGGAGCGATGTAGCGACATCGCCACCTTCATTTGACATTCCGCCTCCCGGATAATCAAAATGCATGCGACCTCGGACTCCATCTAGATGCTACCACACGAATATACTGCAAGCCCTGTCAGCTCTTTAAAGTTCCTTCTGCAAGTGAGATATGCAGTCTTGCCACTTCGTCGCTAAGTAACATTGCTCACGGTATTCAGATAGCGTAAGCGCCATCCTTGGAGGCCGGAGATTCACAAACCGCTCTTCGCCACCCTGCTTCTAGATATCTTGCATGTATATCGGCGTTAGGCCGGAATGTGCGGCCGTCAAGCCGCGATTAGGTAGCCCCGGCATTATCACAAATCATCCGCAAATGCAAAGGGCTCACGGCGATTGTGCTAAAGTATCATCTTGCACTTGGGTGCGAGCTGCGTCACCTTTTGGCCTGCGCCCTTTAGCACCCACCACCTTTTTTAACGTGTTGTCGTGGATTGTACATTTTACTTTCCGGAGTGTACTTTGGGGTTCTAGTCGTGCAAGCTTGACCTACGGGTTTTTTGGAGACTAGCTGCCGTCTTGTAAAAATGGCATGGATTACTCTTCCTTTCGCAATTGGAGTTACACTCATCTCTAGCCTCGCCTGGCTCATCTATGTGTCCTACCGACAGCGAGCTAAGATCCACCAGCTCCGAAGACAAGGCTTCGTTCGTCTGCCATTTTTCTTCCGATCTTCTTCTTCTGATTCTTCTTCAGCGAATGCCACAAAACTGGAGCTGGATCTTCGGCCATCTTCTGGTTCTACAAAAAGCCAGATCCAAGTTTCCTTCGGATGCGGCCGCCTGGACCACGGCTCTACGAGAGCTTGCCCTAGGGGCTACAGACACCGAAGTCCTTCTCGTGGACTTATGGCCGGTTTCTCCTCCCCTGCTGATAGTAGCTGATCCGGAAGTCGCCGTTCAGATAACCAACAAGTACAATCTTCCCAAGACCCGGCACAACTCTGAGGACTCTATGAAGCCTATTGTGGGTGGACCGAGTATAATTTCCATGAATGGTGAAGAATGGAAATTATGGCGAGGTCTGTTTAATCCTGGATTTAGCGCGGCGAACATGACAACATATGTGCCATATATCGTGGACTGCGTCCAAGTTTTCTGCGAGAAATTAGAGGAGAGAGCAGGAAAAGTGCTCTTTCAGCTCGAGGACTTAACCACGAGATTGACAACAGAAGTGATTGCCAAAGTGACACTGTATATATGCCAACGCTTGCAGTTGCTGTCTATAGTACTGATAGAAACACAGAGATGTGGATCTTAATTATCAGCATCAAGATCATGTGTTACCGCACGCTTTCAACACTATCATTAACTGGCACTCCATGTGGAACCCAATGATTTGGGCCAATCCACTTCGGCCTTTAGTCCAAAAATACTACGGGCGTATCATCAAAAGGTTCATTCGAAAGGAACTCCAAGCACGCTTCTTAGAACTCCAAACTGGACAGACTTCAATTGCCAAGAGAGGTCGTGCAAAGTCCATCATCGCGATTGCTCTCGAAGGTTATATCGCAGAACAAGGAAATGCTTCCGGAAATTCTACAAGCACTGGGGAGTTAAATGAACATTTTACTGGCTACGCAAGCAATCAGATACGCCTCTTCCTTTTTGCGGGAAATGATACTACATCATCCAGCATAATCTATCTCTATCACCTACTCTCACAGAATCCTCTCGTTTTAGAGAAGCTCCGTGTCGAACACGATGCAATTTTCGGACCCAATGTCGTCGAAGCCACAGACATGCTCAAGGAAAAGCCTGCATTACTCAACCAGTGCCACTACACGCTTGCAGTTGTTAAAGAAACATTACGTCATTACGCACCAGCGGGGACGCTGAGGTCTGGAGTCTCTAATGTTGTTCTCACCGATCGCCACAATAATTCTTACCCTATGGATGGTATATGCGCCACGATTATCCATGCAGCTATGCATATGAACCCGTATTTCTGGGTACGACCAACGGAATTTCTCCCAGAGCGCTTCGTCGTTGATCCAGAGCACGAATTGTATCCCAATCCAGCAGCCTATCGTCCCTTTGAGCAGGGGCCTAGGAATTGCCCTGGGATAACTCTAGTATACAATGAAATGCGGATCGCTCTGGTTTTGACGGCGAGGCGGTTTATTGTTCAGCCAGCGTATGAAGAATGGGATGAGTTGCAGGCCATGAATATGGGATTTTTGAAGACATTGGGCAAGAGATTAGGCGTGGTAGCAACCGAGCCGAACACTGTATATGGAGACAGAGCATATCAGACAGATACGGCAGGAACGCATCCTAAAGATGGATACCCATGTAGAGTGGAGCTCCTGAATCGTAGTTTGTGAAGTCATTTGGAAGACGAGCCCCAAGGAGGAAAGTCTGTGAAAAAGACGTATTAAAGGGTTCTTGATACATAAGCACTCGTCCTACCGAGCCCTTGAAGTCCCTCCCCACTATTTGTCTTGCGGTTCTGACCCAAAATAACACTACGTCTATAGGTTTTTGGCGTAGGTATTGGATCATTACACATTCAAAAGCGTGATTAAACGGATGACGACCTTTCATTTGGGCTGGAATGAATAGAAGCCGGTAAAGGTCGATTTAGCAAGTAATCTATATTTAGAAGCCTAATTCGATTCTATGTCTCATTCGAACTACTGAATGAATGCCCCGCAAAGGCAAAAGCGGAATCCCTAAATTTTCTACATGTTTCAGGAGGCCTTTTGAATAGGAATAGCGGGAGTAATGGAACGTAATCTCTTGGTTCTCCAAATTATTCTGTGTAGTGATACTGTCGAGGCCAGAAGAGTGAGATCATCCCGACACCTACTTCGTAATAGGCCACAAGTTGTCCTTCCGTCTGTAAAATCACAGGAGCTGTACGCATTCGAACCCTCGAGGCCTCCTTCGTTTCCTTATTTCTCAACATCAATCGTCGCCCTCGTCATATTCAGTGTCAAAATACGAGGAGGCTTCTCGGGAGTATGAGGAGTTCCAATAGGTTGAACGATAGGCTCCAAGCTACCCTTCATGACGGAGTCATCATCCAGCATACCATGGACATTAAGCTCAAAGTGGCCGAGATTTTCCTGCTTTGTTCGACTGCCGTTAGAGCCCGTTCTTCGGCTGAAAGAGCGAAGAAGGGGACTCATGACTTCTTTTCCGCGGCGGTAGAAGGATGGAAAGGCAGTTGAGCAACTGCATATTATTGCTAGATTCATTTCGACGGCACTAGAAATAATTTGTTACTCTGCAGTTCAGCAGGAAAGAGGATGACAGTGTACCTGAAAATGGAGGTTGCTGCGCCACGATAGAAGGGATCCGATTTGTTGAAGTTGACGCCTACGTAGATAAGTCGCACAATGCTCATGAGACAAGCACTAGTCACGGTCAGGATGAATATTTAATGATAATGGTGAAGACTTACGTAAGACCGACCGTAAAGATCGCCGCTAGACCCATCTTCGCCCTTGAATCAATACTTAAGCTTCGTACACGAGCGATGGGGATCGTGAGTATGTAAAAGTCGCTGATAACATTCGCTGCTCCGAAAGTCGCGACGGCGGTATTGACAGGCTTAGTGTAGCAGTATGTGAGATGTTCTAGATTAACCTTAAAACTCGAGCATATGACAACACGCGAGATGGCGACTCCGACGTAAGGCAGCGATATCAACGTGCACATGAAGATACCCCCGAGAACTAGTTTGCGCGATGATGAGTAGACCTGGAACAGCCGATAGTAGAGTAGCAGCAGGGACATCTTGATAAAATACATAACGATGCCGTAGATGATATCGATAGCGCTCAGTCTCTTGATCTTTGCCTCTGTCAGGCTAATCGCGCGTATGTCCCAGAAGTGACGGCCGTATCCGATGTTGATACTACTAAGACAGAGCGTCGTATGGGCTATAGATCCGAGCATCGAGACCGCACATAGAGCTTCTAATAGTTAGTGACTTGAGTATGTGCGGAGCTTCGGGTATCTTGCTATCGTCCCAAGCTAGTCCTTGACGACAGATGAATTTCCGAGTAGTGAGCCGCATTGCTACAATTGCGAAAGCCAAACCCACGAAGACTCCATTCACGATAGTGAGTGGGTCTGCCAACGTGTCGGACGGGTTGTCGAAGTTGGGTTTTACTCCTAATGGAGGAGGAAAGGCAGGCTGGTTCGCAAGTACCTCCGGGGGAAGCTTAGAGGGATCCATTGTGCAGACTGACTCAATCGAAACGACGATGAAGGGTGTATCTGGCGGTGAAGTCTAGAGAGGGGCGGTTGAAGCTGCCCTGCGACAGACTATAATAGAGTGCTCACCATGTGCGCGATATACAAGTGACACTAGGCCTGAGGTCGAACACGCCTTCATGGGATTGATTAACGGGGTTGGTTGGTGGTGTCGACGATAGCATTCTCGTTGGACAGATGCAGGGTCCCCCTTCGGACTCCGACCTTGGTTACACAGTCAGCAATCTCATCCTTTGGAGGAGCTTGAGATGGTTTCGCAGCTGTGTTACCTACTCCTACACGTGCAGAAACACAAGTTCTGGCCCCCACCCGACACTTTGGATATCAATTAAGTACCCCCTCACTCCGCATGTGAAAGGCAGCCTCTAAGGTTAACACAGCATTGTTGTTCGATTGTAATTTGCGTTTTATATTACGGTTGCCTCGAGCGGCGCTGCTCCGAGTAGCAACGGAATGTGGCACAATATCGGTGTCTCAACAACACATGATCTCCGTCGATCGCAGTGAGGAGCTGCTCCCCAAACCACGGAGCCCCACCGTAAACCGTGGACGATTCCTATTTCACCTTCTGAAAAAGTGGCATTTAAGATCTCTACATAATTTTTCCTTTACTGCCTAGAGTTCTATCATGGCAGACCTAGAAACACCTGTGCTCGGTACAGCCCTAGTTATCGGTGGTTGTGGCCTTCTGGGGCATCACATCGTCAAGATATTGATCGAATCGAAGGTGACGTCTAAAATTGTCGTCTTGGACGTAAACACGGCAGTCAATCTAGTCGATGGCGTTGAATACATCAATGGCAGTATAACCTCCTCCGACCAGGTAACCCAAGTTCTCAAACAACATACGCCTCGTGTTGTTTTCCACACCGTCTCGCCGAATCCACTCTCCGAAAACCGAAAGCGCTTTTACGAAGTCAATGTCGGGGGTACACAGAATCTGCTAGAATGCATCAAGAACACCACGTCTGTCAAGGCGCTAGTCTACACGTCGAGTTCTTCGGTCGTCCACAACAGTTATACGGACCTCATTAAAGCGACTGAAGACATGCCTCTCTTCTTTGAGCCTGCTCAAAAGGTGTACTACTCGCATACCAAGGCTGTCGCAGAGCAAATGGTTATCAATAGCAACAGGCAGAATGGCCTGCTCACTACGGTCATCAGGCCAGCGAGTCTGTTCGGCGAAGGCGATCATCTTCTAACTGGGAACATGGTTGGATTGGGGCGGAAGAATGTGATTATCGGTTCAGGAACAAATCAATTCGACTTCACCTATGTTGGCAACAACGCGTATGCACAAATGTTGGCAGCTGCAGCACTTGTTCGCGCCTCCACCTCGAAAGAACCTATTCCAGATGATGAGAGAGTCGACGGCGAGGCATTTGTAGTTACAAATGATGAGCCATGGCCCTTTTGGGAGTTTGCTCGCGCTCTCGCAGTAGCAGCAGGCTATACGGTGGATAGGACGAAGGCAAAAATGCTGCCGAAGGGAGTCTTGCTCTTCTTCGTAGGGCTCTTGGAGTGGTTCTACAAGATCTTGACGCTCGGAACGCGACAGCCAGCTGTGAAGACGAGGATGATTCTCCCGACCACCTTGGAACGTACATTCAATATCGGCAAGGCTAAGAAGAGACTAGGGTATAAGCCCCAGGTCAGCATCGAGGAAGGTATTAGCAGGACTATCACGTGGTACATGTCGCAGCAAGGGGTACAAAAGAAGACTGCCTGAAGGAATAGCGCAATATTCTATGCAGCATGCAATGCATCCACTGTATGCAGGAGTATGAGGTAGTTTTCTTGAACCCCGAGAGTAGTTTATTAATGTAGGGTGGTGAGTGCAAATGCAGGGATCATACATATCTTTCCATGGAGTGACTGGGGCCATTAAACCAATGCATCCCATCCGGACCTTGCCAGCAACGCATCATGTTGCTGACCCCTTCTAGATTCTTCTGGAACGACCTTTAACAAGTTTGTGCCACCATCCTGTAGGGACGTCCCTGCACAGCCCCCACGCATCCGAAAAGCCAATCGCATTTGCCGTTCATATTCTTACATTTGGAGAGGAGTTGGTACTCACTTACGGAAGACTTGGGGTTTCAAATCTCCCCTACGGTGATCCACTATGTCCAAGACTGTCACCGATCCATATTTTGGTTCATAAATAGTCGACTGGAACTGTAATGTACTAGCAAGCGACCTCCAAATGGTACTATCTACCGCATTGCGGCCTCTTATAGGCATTCCTCTTTTTTTGCTCGTTGTGTGTATCAAGCTTGTTTACTCAGTTGGCGTTTCGAAAAGCTGGAACAATCCATTATCGAAAATACCCGGTCCAGCTGTTGCACGATTGACGCGGCTCTGGTTGGTACAATCGCTAGTAACGGGCAAGGCTGTAGAAGACTTCCGCAGGCTCGATAGAGAATATGGTAAGAACGAACGGGATGGCTGGGGTATTCTTCTCTTACACAGTTTCTGCAGGATCAGTTGTCCGCGTTGGGCCTAAGAGCCTCCTTATCAGTGATCCGGATGTCGCACGTAAGATTTTATCCGTAGGCTCGAGATACACGCGTGGACCGTTCTTCGACGCGCTTCGGCTCGAGCCGACGCGAACGAATGTGATCTCTGAGCGGGATCCCAAAAAGCATCAGTTACTACGGTCTATTCTCGGAGCTGGGGTGGGTTACCTTCACTTTCAGTCCTACCGCTGTGATGCTAACGTATCAAAGATAGCGGTAAAAGGCAACCCAAAGCTTGAGGTGATGATGGACGAACACATTCGGCACTGGATCAAGATGATCGATAGCAATTACATTTCGCATGGTGACAAGACAATCAATTTCGATTTGTCGCGAAGCATTCCATTCCTTAATATAGACTTCATGTCCCACCTTTGTCTGGGCAAGTCTTTCGGATGCCTCGAGTACGACACAGATATGTTTAAATTTCTGCATTCGATTCGAACAGGTATGATAGCCCAGCAATGCATGTCGATATTGTCGGAGATCACGACCTTCCTTCATTGGCTTGCTGGAAATTCGTCTCTTCGAAAGTTCATGACGGTTTTTCCAGCAGTTTGCCATGATGAAGGGATAGGCCGAGTCATGCGGGTAAGTAGCTCCAATGAAGCCATAATGTTGTACTCAAACCAACTGTTGGTGCCCAGGTGATCCACTCTGCTGTGACACAGAGGGAAGCCGATCGGAGAAACAAGATCTTCAGGGACGATATGTTGGACTCCCTCTTTGATCGGGGTCTGACTGCTGACCAAGCCTTGACGGAGCTTTCTGTATTGCTGTAAGCCAAAACCTTTCAAACTTCGGTGTACTAGTCAACGAGCTAAGCGGTCAATTAGCGCCACGAACACAGATAATGGCTCTAGTGCAGTTCAAGCCATAATCTTTGCTATCATCACTAATCCACGTGTATATATGAGACTTCAGGACGAGATTGATTCCTTGGTTGCCCGCGGCGAAGTCTCGTTTCCAATCTCAAATGCATTAGCCAGAAAGCTTCCCTATCTCCAGGCCTGTATCTCGGAAGGTTTGCGGTGCTACCCTCCTGAAATGCAACTAAGGGAGCGCATGGCGCCACCAGAGGGCGATTTTATTGGTGGATACAATATACCCGGTGGCACTTATGTTGGATTTAATGCCATTGCACTGCAGCATAACAAGATCTACGGCGAGGATACAGAAGTGTATCGCCCAGAGAGATGGTTTGACAAAGATGAAGAACGTCGGAAGCAGATGCAGCGGACCCTGGATTTAATGTTTAGCCACGGCAGTTCAAAGTGCCTGGGCCTTGACATTGCCTACATGGAAATGAACAAGCTAGTGGTCGAGGTATGTTCAGGCCCCCTTCATAGCCATGCCCAAACAATTGCTTAACCTGACATTGTGTAGCTCTTTAGACACTTTGATGTAGCAGTTGCAAATCCTTCAAAGCCATGGAAACGTCTAGGGCGCGGTTCATTCTATCAATGGGAATTCTTCGTGCGGGTTGAACGGCGGACGAACTTTAATGCTAAAAATCTTAGAGGCTAGGACTGCTGTTTTTAGATTAGATCTCATCTGTTACTACTACTTACTATTGCATTTGATAACTTTACATATGCCTACCTGCAGTCTATTAGCTCTTAGTTAACTCAAGTTTGCCTTTTAATACATACAGGTTACATAATAGAAGAGGCTCCGCAACGCTCCGCTATCGCGACTCAAAATTACAAATAATCTAACGCTATTGTATGGAGGTGAGCTGTATACCTGGCTGGTGTGTAGGTATACCCATCTCTCTTTATCTCCCCACCCCCACTTCCGCGACGGCATACCGCACACCGTCACTACGCATAACTAAGGTTAAGCGGAGATGTAGTAACAATAAATTCTACTTCATGCTCTGGTGCATGCATTCTTAAGCCTTTTTAAATATTTATTTTTCAATACTATTCTGTACCCTTCCCCTACTTTTATGCTTTCTGTTTATAGTGCTTTCTTTATTTAAATTATTTATACTCTAGTTACAATAAACAAGTAGCTAGTTTACAAGCCGGGCTACTTTTATTCCTACTTCGTGTTCTAGTTTATTGTTCCAAGTCTGCTTATGTTTGTGACGGGTTAAACCCGATAGCACCCCAGGTATGAGATAGACCGAACTGAATGTCGCACGTGAAACTAGTTCACGTGACCAAGCGCAGGGTGAATGTGCGTCCTTCACCTCTCACCCCTTTCCTGTTTAGGGCTAGCGCTCTTTTAGCTACTATATATTTACCTCTGAGCTCTCTCGATCTCCAGAGACCTTACACCTCACCTCAATCTACCTAGGTCGTCTCTCATTACCTAATTAACTGCTCCATGCTCTCCGCCATCCGTCAGCTCTAAACCTGCGATACTGAGGCCGGACAAAAAGGAGCTCAATTGGCAACCAATCTCTCTAGATACTATAATCTCTGTTACCCGCACATCAAGCTCTATTCCTTGAGGCTTCTCAGCTTTGGCCCCTCACAGTGTCACGCAAATGCTACGGATAAAGAGTCAAAAGCTCAAAGAGGAGCGTTGATGAATTGTTACGCACAGTATCGAGTGAATGTAAATACGTTGCGTGAATAAGGAAGAGAGCTGAGCAGGTTCAGACAGGTGTTTTTGCTCATGCGCTAGCGTAAGGCCTACAAGCGAGATTCTTAGGAAGGCTTCCTCTAAAGGCTCAATAGGTGTCGTGGGTTGTTACCGTGACAGCTTGCAAGAGCAAATACGAACTCTGCCGATATAGCAGAGTACTTGTCTAAGTAGCTTGCAGATGTTTCAGATAATAAGGTTAGTTTAGTATAGCAATGGGATTATTGCAAGGCTCATCTCTTGTTAAAGGCTCTTCTTCAAAGTTTTCATAGGACCGCATTGTTGCCTATTTAGATTTTGGCAACCTTTGCGCGATAAATGAAATGGCTAGTGGAAACGGGTACTGTCAATCTATGGCGGCACAATTGACGGGGAACAAAGGATTCGTCGCGCTCGGTCGATAATCCTGAATACGATGTGTTTTGATCTCGCTTCCTAGCTTCTAAGACTATTTTAGGACAACAATCAATTTATGTTGATTAAATACTACATCAGGTACACACGTCATCTATTTCCGTCTATTTCAAAATACCATCAACAGTTACAAAGAAGCTTGGTTTTCATGTCCTGATGCCTCGCTTCCAAATCTTCACCTCTTCATTCTCATCAGCATGTTCCACAATCTCCTTCCAAGGAAGACTGTAATCGTTCCCCTTCTACTAAACTGGAGTGGGCTTGTTACATCCATAGTCGCGCCCCCAGACACATCATACTGGAGAGCGCCTTATGCCCTCCGCGTTATCTCGTACGTACCTTAAATACACCCCGCCTTCATCCAAAACTTATTTTGTCAGCGACGATGCAAGAATCAACGGCCGCACTCTAGTCCCGGACACATACAACGGACGTACCACTGGTGTGTACATCAACTCGAAAAGGGCACCGCATGAAGCCTACACCATCTACCCGTCGGGCGACCCATGGGCCTCCAGTTTCAACTACTCAAACCTCACCGAACTGTACGAACAGCAATTCCATTCCGACAGCAATAGCACCGAACTCATCCTCATCTACGGTCAAAAGCCACCAACCGCGTCGGGTACCCCACTTCTACTGATGAACACTGATACTGGGCCTGGAGTGACACATTTATGGCCAGCCGCATCGTTTGTCGTGGATTGGAGGAGTTGGCGATTTGTATGGGATGAGACAAATGAGAGGGCGATTTTGAGGAATTTTGGCTGGACGGATGGAATGAGGTGGATTGCCTACCAGGGCTCGGCTACTGGGAGTACATTTTATATCTATCGATGGAATGGTAAGTTCTTATATCTGATGATCTGGAATACGGGATACTAACCAAGACAAGGTACGTTACCCAGGCCTAGTGATGGGTGGGGTAGTAGCGTGTCGGATATTGTTAATGCTAGTGTTAACATTGATCTTGAGGTCGTGCCGTTGTGGCAGATTCCACCACTTGGCTAATTACACAGGGAGAAAATTGGGGGTACCATTATTCCAGGATCCCGGGCTTTTCGGATAATCCTACTCCTGGTGGTGGAGATGAAACTTGGCATATACAAATCGGGGGGTGGTTAGCACCCTTCCTGGAGTACCCTGACAAAGTCATCATAACTCGCATGCCTTTGTTAGACTGTCACTCCATTTCTGCCCCCGACGCAACGCCCTGCTCAATGGGCTAGCTCCACCGTCATCCCCCTGACTGGATCAATTTTGCCCAAAAATGGCATGCCCTGTTCTGCCTGCCTGCCATACCTTCCCGCAAGCGTTAAAAACACGATCTCTCCACTCATACTGAACCAAATTTTTCTTGTATCTGGATGCCCTTAATCCGTTGCCCCCTCTGCGGGTATAATCGCATTTGTATTGTCCCCAACGGATTTTCCATTCCGCTCTTGTAGGCTTAGTCCATTCGAGCATCCATCTTGTGTTTTGAAAGGGTCTTTGTATTGTTCGAATTGCCATGTTTGCGATATTTAGTTAGTAGACCAACACGGCTTGCACGCGGGTTCTGCTTAGCTCTTCCACATCTTTTGCGGTGACGAGAAGGAAGCCAGCCGGTATAAGTTCCATGTCCTGTAAATCTTTTTCTATGTTCTTTCGAAGCGCGACATATTTCTGTAATGGGGGTTTGCGTCCGGCGACCTTTTTCTTTGCTATTTCGTTTAGTAGAGAGCCTAGCTCTTGAACATTTTCGGTGACTGATTGAGAATGACTACTTGGTTTCCCGTAGCAATAATCTACGCGGCGGGATATGCGTTCGGCATGTGCTTGCATTTCCTCCGCGGTCATGGGGTATGATATGTACGAACAACTATGAGGAGAAGGTTTGTCTGGAAGTGTTATTACCCGCTAGTCCACCTCTACTGTTCCAGTATGATGCTTGTTGCCCTTTTATGTTCTGTTTTTATCTCAATCTTCCCTCATAGCCCCACTTTCTGATGGTAGGACGACGTGATATTCCTCCTAAAAATGCTATGCGACACTGATGCAAGCTCATATTCCGAATTAGTAGACCTCAGGGTCCTAACATTGCGAACACTCAAAGCTGTGAGATTCAATCAAAAGAGAAAAAAAGCGCGACCTTCGAGGTTGTGCTTGAGAGGCAGGCATAGATTCGCTACCAGAAAAAATTGGGATCTTTTTCCGTCCTTGCAGGGAGTTGTATGACAGTGGCTGAAAGAGGCTAGGTTCCGGCTGGTGTAAATCGCGCGGCAGTAATCTCTTTGGCTGGGATTTCATAAGTGCAGATGTTTTGGGCCAAAGAAAAACAGGCATATTGCGGCTCGAGGGGCTTTAGTGGAGGAATGGGGGAAATTCAGACTTGAATAGAGAAGAAATATCAAACCATGCCGACCATTTGCCGCTGAGGGAATTGGTGATGCTACAACCGAAATGACTAGCTACCATAATCCTCTGGAAGAGAGAATCGTGGCTGTGGTGGCTGTATATATAATCTCAGATCTGCATCTCTCTCTTATCGACTATCACCAATGAACCTTTGTGTGAAAGTTGCCTACGCAAGCCACCAAATCCATTGCGACGCAGGATCATTCCACAGCTTCGGACAGCTCGTGTTACTCGGCCAGTGATCCAGTGTTGAGATCTGATCGATGATACTGGTTGTAACGACCACAGGGATGAAAAAAGAAAATATCCCAAGTTGGAAGACCGCCACAGGCAAAGCCAGTAGCGCCGCGAAACAAGGCAAACAAAACCACATCCATCGTGGCAGCGCCCCATCCTGTCTGAGTCGTATCCCGATTCTCCGAAGTAGTGTGGCGACTACTCGTCCATATCGAAATTGCAGCAGAAGGATACTACCTAGGGTGCTCTCCAACGCCAGAGCACACAGAATCCCGACTCCCGATTCTGTTTTGAGTACGTTGATGAGATCGTTGCCGTAAGCGGGTAGCAATGCGAGAAGAAATACTGGGTAGTTCCACTTGGAATGGTTGAAGACTGGGAGCGGTTAGTTTCTTCTCAAATAGCAAAGGGGAAGTGAGAGTTACGCCTAAAGGGCTGAATGAATAGGGAAAGTCTGGATTCCGTGGTTCTGAATTCCTCGTGCTCGGGACACGGGACATGCTGAACAAAGATTGGGATCCTGAGTAGGTTGCCAAGTAATAATGTGGCCGTGAGCGTTCCAGAACATGCCAACTCAAAGACTCGCTGGTCAGCCGCTGTGACTGCATCGTGTAGCCTCCGGCGTCTGTAAAGGTAGATGGTTCCAATGCATTGAGCAAGGAAGGCAAGGACGGCTATAATGCTGGAGATCCTACACTCTGCTCCACGGGGCTCTTTTTTCTGCTCGAGCGAGGTTGGAAGCACAGAATATCCAGGCTCTTCATCGTCTAAAACCCTTCCAAATAACCACCCGAAGGCAAGTGGGATGGTCTTGAGATCGTTGAATCTTCGCCTGATGACCAAGTAGAGGGAAAACACGGCTATTATTCCGAGTGCTACAGCATGTTGAACGACAGTAATAAGAGGGGCGGAGAGGTGGTAAAAGAGGGTCCAAACGGTGACAGGCTCTTCGCGAATGCCCACAAGATGACAATATGCTATTGTAGTCGTCAAATGAACGACGAAAAGTTTAACCCAGAGCTCCTTTCCGCTTCGGCGTGTGTCTAGCGGACATAAGGGAGGTTTGGAGTCATCCATGGTAGAAGCATAAGCTTGGTAATGATAACGATTTTGACAGCGGGGAGATATTGGCGGAAGAGGTTCAGATCAGGCTTGGCAGTATAGTTTTATGATCTTCTGCTTACAAGTGAGAAGAGGGCCAGAGTTAAAATGGATTGAGCAGCAACATGCAGCTATAGGCTGCAGAAGCCACAGCCACTACAGCCAAGAATCGAACACGAGGAATCAACCCCTCACTCAGGATATAGGTACGGACGCATGCTTATCGCGTAGCTGAAATACTCAGCCATGAATCTAGCTAGTAAGCTGCTGGACAGAGAGAGGGGCTGGATGTGTCTGCTTGCCTGTTTGAGCAAGCTACAGATCTATTTTATTAACAACTAGCTAAGTCTAGAGAAGTTTAGATCTATATAGACCTAAATTAGCTTTATATCTACTTTAAAATTAGTGAGATAGGCTGATAGGACCTATTAAAAAGCCTCACGTACTATACAATGTCCTTCTCCCTTTTAGAGGGTGATATGTGCAGTTACTTGAATCTATGAGATTTGTGAGGAAAGTGGTGACTGGGCATTGCCAAGAATCCAGCAAATTTCGCACACGACGAATATCTGATTAATAAGCCTGCTCGGCATCGCGTTTTTTTCTCCGGGAGCAGCCTGAGTAAGCCGCAACGCAGTTATGATTCCTAATCGCTTTGCTGATTCCACACGGTAAAGAATAGCGTTAATGGCAACTAGGGGTGACACAAGCTCCTTTCTATTCTTACGAAGCTCCTCCCCGCTCGCGCAATCGCGTTAGCGTGACGTAGTGATTTCTAATCACTATTGTTACCTTTGCTCGGAGCTCATCTATATATCCCCACCTTTGTGCCATTGAGCTTACCTAGATGCCACTACCGCAACCACTTACATCGCTACGGCTACAGATAGCTTCTCGAACCCTGATACCTCGTGTTCCACGACACCCGACGAAGCCTCACCCTCACGCCGCCTATACGCGAAGCCTTCACGTCCTCCCCGACATGGCCGACCAACGACCTAATGGCCTCAAGGCTAACAAGGGTATCGAGCTTCTCACTTGGGGCACTCCCAATGGCGTGAAAGCTTCGATCCTGCTCGAAGAGCTGAAGGAGGCATATGGAAAGGTCCGATAGATCTTGGCAAAAGGAAAAAAAAACTGCTGATTAATGAATAGGACTACACCTGGCAAGGTATTAACATTAGCCAGAACATCCAGAAGGAGCCATGGTTTACGAAGCTGGGTCCGAATGGACGTATCCCCGTCATCGTGGATCATGATAATGGTGGGTTCGCTGTGCAGGAAGGCTTGGGTAAGTATTCTTACTCTTGGGAGCTCCGTACCAGAATTGACCACACCCAGCTATCCTTGCCTACCTTGCCCGTCACTACGACCTCGACCACAAGTTCAGCTTCACCGACCCTCTCGATATCTCTCGCGCTGAACAATGGATGGCCTGGCAGCACGGCGGTCTCGGACCAATGCAAGGTCAGGCCAATCACTTCAATGTAGGTTGCATGTACTAATGCACCACGATGAGAGGCTAAGAATGGGTAGAGAGCCGCAAAAGAACGCATCCCATACGGCATGCAGCGATACACCGGCGAAACCGAGCGGCTAGTCGGAATCCTCGACAACCACCTTAAGAACACCGATTACCTAGTTGGTAACAAATATAGTATCGCAGATATTGCTAGCTTTGGTTGGGTGAACGCGCTTCGGTTCTCTGGCGTAGACCTGGACGCTTTCCCAAATCTGGAGGCTTGGTGGGTGCGGATTCTTGCTCGACCCGCCGTTCAGAAGGGTATCTCGATTCCATCGAGGAGTCCTTTCGGGAATGAAGCGTATCTACAAAGGCTGAAGGATGACAAAGAGTTTGCGGACAAGGAGCATTCACTCATGGATGCTATTGCCAAGGCGAAAGAGCAGTATGGCTACAAGTATGCCTCTCCATAAGCAGCTCTCGAGATCCAGGCCTTGGTGAGAGATGGCATGACAATGTAAAGTATTTTCCGACTCAAGAAATCCAAGTCACAGACCTGATTAGAACAGACCACACTTGGTGTGAGGAAGTGCCCAATGAGTGGCGCCGGGTGGTTCTCAGCCTCGAGGTTCCACTAGCGACAAGAATAAATGGCATGTACCGTCGCAATCGCCAATTCATAGGCCGGCGCCAACTTGTGCGATGGTCTCCTGTCCACCGTCTTTCAGTCTGGGTTGAGGGTGAAACAGGTCGGAAATATCGTGACTACGTTTGAGGTCAAAAAGAGCGCAGCAATGTAAGCCAATCAAAGCAGCCGTGACCCCTGCGTAGTGGTGAATGCTCAGCGGGCGCTAATGACCTAAGCCAAGCGATTGGAAGTGCTGCAAAACAGGTTCCCTTGGCGAGACCGCAGGGCGGCAACAGGCATGAAACACATCGAGGCATCAGACACTCTCTTCCATCACCTTGCAATATATAAGTTCACGATACGATCAGCTGTCTAGTCATCAGTTCACAGTACTCTTCTTCACTCTTCACTTCATTGTTCACACGATTTTGACAATCGGCCTTTTCTCTTATTACTTTGTGCAATTCCTTTGTCCTATTTTATTGCATTCGTGGTTCCCTGTGCTTATTTGGCCGTTTCCGTTGTCGATCACAAATCCGAAAGAGCGATCATACCAGGCCTGGAAGCCCGGACCCTAAGCTAATAGTCATACTTTCCCGGTTTCCTGCACAATACAATCCTTCTTCACTCAGCAATCGTGCGACTGAACAACGCTTTTGTCTGCTACGACTGCCACGGCTATTTTATCACCGCGACACCCGATTCTCTCGATAACCCAGAAACCAAAACTCGACTTCTAATCGACTCCAAAACTACCTGCCCTAGGCCATCCGTTCGCGAGTGTTCTACTCCAGAATAAATTCTCGACCATAGCATTAGTTGATGCTGAACGTTATTACCACCATGCTCCGATTCCTTGGCCGTAAGACGATGAAGTCGGAGAAGTCCGTGGCCGGATCTACCTCTTCCAACCTGAGCGACTGGAGTATTGGCAGCATCGCTCGCATCATCACCCGCCTATTTCAGTTCGTCATGGGACTTACAGTCATTGGTCTGTACGCCCAAGACCTAGTTAAGGCTAAAAGTGCGCATAAGTATGCCGACCCCAAGTGGGTATATGCCGTGTTCTGCGGTGCTTTCGGGGCACTTACATCAGTCGTGTTCATGCTCCCGCTCGTGAAGTCTTGGATCTTCTTTGGTGTTGACTTTTTGATCTTGTACGAATGAGCCCCCCCTCTTTCTTCAGAATTTCTGCTAACAAGTGAATAGCTTCTTCTACATGGTCCTCTTCGGCATCTTTGGCAAGATGTACATGCAGGAGAATCCCGAAGGCAACAAAGGCATCATTCGTATGAAGCGCGCGGCCTGGATCGATATGGTCAATATGCTCCTCTGGTTCGGCACGGCCGTCTGGGGATTGTGCATGTTCTTCAGGGCCCGTAAGGAACGTGGTCGGCAATCTGTCGTCTAAGTTCCAACCTTAAATCTCTTCCGCCACCCCGCCAGCTCTATTTGAACCCGGACTAATCGAGAGTGTTTAGAGCGTGGAGATCAAGATTACCCTCACCAACGCCTAACGCTCCTCGATCCTCACTATAGCACATAATCCCCTCAAGTTTAGTCGATAGTCCACCCCTGAGCTGCACTGAGTGCGGCCAATACCCAGCATTTGAATGGAACCATTGTATTATCACGCCGGTCTGTCTGTATCTTTCTTCGTGGTGTTTTGGAGGTTGGATACCCACAGTAATGATGTTCATGCATTTTTATTTTTCTTCCTTTATGGACTGCGAATGGAGACTATCAATATCATGACTCAATGACAAGAATTGCCGTTTGACGTTTATACTGACCGCTTGATCTAATTGTGCCATTAACATGATGACACCACATTTCATTATTCAGTTTAGATACATGAGGATGTGGCTAGACCTGCGCTTACTTTATACAGATAGAAAATAAATAACGTTACCCTAATTAATTTTTTTTAAAAATAGCATTCATTAAGAGTGTATGCGTACTGAAGTCAAGGTACTGATGGTTTTGTCCGTTACGGCGGCTGTCTTGTTACGGGCGGACGTACGTTAACCATTTTTCTTTAAATTGCAAATGCTAGTTCGATTATTTATCACGTGTGAATTTTGGCTCATGTCACTAGCATGCCTTCCTGCTCACGATGCCAAGCCCAGCAGCCAACAGACAGCTCGTCTCTCTCAGCCAATTCACAGTGTCATTATGACGAGTCGGTTGGCGCTTTTTAGTCCAACCATTCGCGAATGCTCAATCCCCACACAACATACTTTGGTGTTCTCACTAACTTTGGGGGGCTAATATTTCTCTTATCGCAAAGGCGTATCGGGCAGCCCAAAGCTTACAAGAACTCCACATCATTCGCAGCACAATACCTACTCCTGCGCCTGATCCTCTCTCCAAAACACCAAAGCACAAAAATTGCTCCGAATCCTATGACCGCAAAACTACCAGCTAATATCGTGGCACCCCAGCCAAACCCAACCTCCTGGAACATGTACGGAGCAAAGAGCGGAAAGAAGGCAGCAACGTTACTTCTCAGAACCAGATTCGTCGACACTGCCGACGCTGAGTATCTGGTATAAGCGTCAATTGTATACACTGATATGCAACATGAGCAGATATAGCATCCAGCTGTGAAGAGCATGCACCCTATATTTGGCATGATCCAGTGGAGGCGGGTTTCGCCAGACCAACCCCACCAAAGGAGGCCGATGGGAACTAGGAGTGTTCCTATGGGCATGACTGGGACGCGGTATTCGGGACGCCCTATGTTGTTGCTGGAACGGGCTTTGAGTTTGGAGTATATACTGTCGTTCAGATGGCCAGCCACTTTACGATAAGATGTCAGCACGATGCTCAGTTCCAAAGTAAAGAAAGGCAAACACTAGAAGTTGGCGGATGTCCTACCTTGAACGCCGGCGACATATCCAATCGCCGCGGAGATATAATTCAAACTCCCTATGCGAACACTTTGGCCATATTGCTTCGTCCAAAGTAGCGGGTACATATACAAAAACAAGAACATGGTACCATACAGCAAGGCCATGTATATCGCAATGAGCTGGATGATGAGCTGCGTTGCTAACATGCGGAGGGGCCTCTGGAGATTCGTCCACATCAGTTGCCAGAATTCCGTTGTCTCCTTTGCGAGTTCTTGAAGACCTGCTTTGGCGTTTCTCTCCGTGGGCTTTCCACCCAGGCTCTGTCGACGACGACGCCGTAAATACGCAAGCCTAGGTTCATAGGTCTCCTTTAGGAAAACCATGGCCAGGACAAACACGACCGCGGACGCAATCGATGTGATCCAGAAGACCCATCTCCAAGTTGTGCCCGTCGCAATGAATGCACCCGCAATCGGACCCAAAGCAGGGCCCAGCAACGGAGCAGCCATATACACAGCAAACGCCCGTCCCCGTTCATGCGGCAGCCAAAGATCCGCCAACACCCCTCCCGCAACTGCATCAGCAACACAAGCCCCAAATCCTGCCAGTAGTCGGAATGCTAACATTTGGCCTAGAGTCTGCGATACCCCACAGGCAGTGTTCCAAACTACGAATACTGCCCCGCCGCTGAGCAGCGCTATCTTTCGTCCATAGACTTCGGATATTGGAGCGAGAATGAGGGGACCGAAACCGACGCCGATGAGAATGAGAGAGTTCACGAGTACCCAGTCGTAAGTTCTAGTAATGGATAGGTCTTTGGAGATAGGTTTTTGGACTGGAGCCAGCATCGTCTCAGCGAGTGGTTGTATCAGAGCGAAGCCTGAGAGGAGAAACGTGGCTCTCCATTTCTCGCCTTGGGACCAATTCTTTGGGCGGGCGGGGTCATTTGGGCCGTCCCACACGTCGTCCTGATTATATCTTGAGTGGTTGATCTAGTACTTTGGATGATGTTACGTACCTCATTTTCGAATACCTGTTCTGAGCTACCGGAGGCTCTGAGCGTGACGGCGCCTATTGTCTTTTCTTCGTCGAATGTCTGGCACTCCATAATAGGAAGAGATAGAAGTAAGCACCAATGCCTTTACACAAACTAAAAGCCAAAAAAGTATCCAGGCCGCGGGCCGTCTAAATACCAGCAAAACGGCCCCTACACGAGGTCAAACAGGCAACTAAGCATCACCAGCTCAACAAACTCCTGATCTACGTAACACTCAATCCCATGGTTCTACCCAAATATCTCCCCAATAAGCTCACAGAACCGATCAAGAACGGCGCGGCTCCGATCATCCCAACTTCCTCTTATATCAATCCAGGGATATAATGTACCATGCTGTGTTACGCCGGGGCTGATTTGAGTTCAACGGTCGTGCAAGTGTGCGGTAGTGCAAAGGGATCAACACGCCACGACACGGTACTTTTCTCCATTTACCGAAATGTGGATCCAAATTGAATGCATAAATGAGATAAGATTCGTGCAGCCAGTTATGTGACTGAGTCTTGGGTCGGCGTTGTTTAAACTCGGGGTCCGTAAGCGCCGGGCTAGGTAGAATAGGGAAGGGAAGAATACAGCCCTGCTGAGCCCGTCTGTAAAATGACAGTCACGTGAAAGATAATTGAAACCTGGGTTGCGAAGATGAAATGGGCTGCTCATTTCTGGCTAGGGTTCGGTATGTAAGACTGTGTATTACATGTGCAACTAACATCCTAGGATTCTATCCAGCTTAGCGCGAGCCTGCCGGCAAGTCAAAGCATTCGTCGAAAACCAAGGTTCTCACTTCAATACTTCTCCGCGGCTGTGCATTCGGCGAGACATTCTTATGCTTGATGCTTGAGTGCATGGCAACTGTTCATGCTTGTCAACGATCATCCAAACTATCCACTTTTTGGTTCAGAATTTAGGATCTGAGGACTATGTTCCAGAATTCACTTACAAGAGGCCTTGACATCAGTCCTAGAGTCAAAATGTTTGAATATCAGCGCTTCTTTTGGCGTTTGCCGGTGCAGAAACTTCCACGTTTGGTCAGGCGTGTAGGTGGCGTAGTAGAGTGTGGTGATATTTTCGCGCCGCACGGAGTCTGTTTCGACCAGAGTTGAGGAAGGGACCGTCGTGCCGGAGCAGAGGGCAAGAGACCATTGATCTACGGGGTAGTCGAGAGGTTTCCAGACACAGAGTGGACGTTAGAATTTGATGCCGTTTGGAATGAGAAGAGAAAACACGCTTACTTGATCGCGCGGATTCGTTGCTCGAATATCCTCTCCGCGTCTTTAGGAAAAGACTTTTGGATGCGGTGGACGATGGATATAGGCGCCATATCTAACGTTCGTATAACACCATGTCAGCTCGGTTTTGATACGGTAGACAGAAGCTGAAAATTCCATTAACTCACCAACATGAGCAAAATTACTCGGAAGCAGACTCTCAGTCTGGTCGCCAAAATTCACCAAGCCGCTCGGATATTCCGACCGACTATCCCTAATCTCCTCCCTGTCAGCGATACTCCCCTTCAACTGCATTATCCTATCGACGAAGCCGAGAATCACTCACTCTCCAATCAAACACAAAAATTGTGCCAACATCCTCAATCTCCCTTTTCAGCATCTCCTCCACTGCCGGAATATAACCCGTCTCAATATCATCTCTTGTCTCCAAATGTTCAAACCCAGGCAGAGTCCTACTCGTGAACCCATGGGCATCGAGATTGGAATATTCGTCACAGCCGCGAAAGTCCTGAACCGTAACAAACTTTTCTTCCCACGCGAGATTAGTGTTTTGCTGGTCTTCTTCGGTGTCGAGATCCTTGTCTAAGAAGACTTGGTAGGGTTTCTCTTTGTCGTACAGAGGACTCCATTTTAGGAATTGGATCGAGGCCGGTTCAGAATGCGGCATGTTAGGGGAGGGAAGCAGTTTGAGATTGCTGGGAGTCCGGATGGAACTGAGGAGGAACGGGGACTAGAGCTAGAGGGAAGTGTGTTGTGGCGGACCAACGCTTAGTGCTACTCGGTCGGTCCGGTGGGCCTACCATCGCGCAAGTGACTTGATGCATTTCTGTTCCCTCCATCCTGAAATATAACCAATCCTCAGCAATCACAGACAAACGTTGGGTTATCATGCATCGGACTACATGATTTGGCCCCATAATCCTCTTTCCCCATGCAAGGGATCCATATGATCCCATCGTAAACCTGGGGGATCTCAACCCCGGGTATATCTCGTAACTCCGAACTATTTTGTGGTCCGGAATGATGCCGAAAGGAATTGTGACCCTGTTCCATATACGTGGTGCGTTGTAACACTGCTTCATCTTCGGGGTTGGACTCTCCAATCAAGCCTAGATGTGGGAGCAAGACATGCATGCATGGGAGTTGTCAGGCGGACTGGTAGCAGTCACAGGGCTGTACTAGATGCGGGGCAATCTGAGAGTGAAGTGTATTGCATGTTCGGCTGAATCCTGCCAGTCTGGGAACCACTAAAGATGATTCTTGCTCGGGCGATGAAGTGCATGCTTCGAGGGAAGCTAGCGGCAATATAAGCGCTGCTGCCACGTCCTCTATGTAAGGCCGGCCGAATCCCGATTGTTTACTTGACTCACCAAGAGATTCCGGCGACACACTGCTTCCTCCAGCCCTATATTCAAAACAATTGCACCCGAGTTCTCCCTTCCATCCCACAACTCTTCGATCCGTCATCTCTAATCCATTCCCCTAGCAATTCCACTCATCATGGCCAACCCAAACGAGAACTTCGCCGCCGCCGTCATCAAGAGAGCCAATCAAGATAAGCGTGTCCAACCTTGGAAGAAGTACCCAATTGGAAAGGCCACCGGGGGCTCCACTGAATACGTTAAGACTGGAGGCAAGGTCAATGTTTTGACCAATGCGTTCCAGATTTAAGTCATGGTATGTAGATTTGCCAAAATTAGAGGAGCTTCTTTTTGACCATTGGAAGTAGAATACGGTAATAGATTGTTATTGATCGTGGTGAGGGAGGTGATGGAAGTAAACGCTGGGTTAGGAATAGGTCATTCACCTCAGTCACTCATTAAGAGAATTCAATCAATTGGTCGTACAAGGCCTTTCTTCTCGCCCTAGCACCTTTTGCCGTTCGTCCTCAAATTCCATTTTGCTTCTTCCAAGACTATCAATCCAGTCTTGCCCCAGTGATGCGTAGAGCCTAGTCGCCTAAACACCACTGCAAATCCTTCGCCAATCGGAGCCACTCCTTGCGCCAGTTCTCACCAGAAACCTTCAGTATCAAGATAAAACTGTTTTTGCATCTCCCTGTTTCGAACCGCCGGTCTCCGCCAGCTCCAAAATGTGAATTGCCTGTACCTTCCCTCGGTTTCGCATTGTTGCCTAACGTCGGCCACTCCTGGGTCAGCAATCATTTCGTTGGTGAGCTCAAAGCCATGAGCTTTATATAGCTCGACATTTGGCGAAGTCGTGTATGCCCAAAGCTCAATCCCTAGCGAGCTCGCTCTTTCGATCCCCCAGTTCAACAGGAGTTGAGCAGCCTCATCTCCATCATATTGATGCTCTAGATCAGTGGCTATGGCATAGAGAACTAAGAAAAGCATACGTTAGATGAGATATTTGGCTACACGATGCATCCGGTAGTCCCTTACAGATGTGTGGTTGATCCGTTAACCCTGCCCTCGAGATTTGGGATTGCTTGATTGTCCTTGGTAAAATTACATATTCGCCCTCGCCCTCGCACGCATATGACCCAACACTTTGGAATTTTTGGTCGTCCGTATTAGTAGGCTTATTTTTAATGTATATGTTCAATAGCGCACCACCGACAATCTTCCCCGTTTCGATATTGACTGCTTTCAGAGTGTGAGATGTTGGATCGCTGATGCATTCGCTTTTGACCTGCGCAATGGATATTCGGATATATTCTTCTCGATTTTTGGATGTAGTGTTCGGAATAGGATGAAGGCTGTTGAAGAAGGAGTGATAGACGTTGGCGGAAGACTTGAATAATAGGCAACCTAGCTCGGGCCAGTCTTGGTCGTGGTTTAGATTGGAAAGTTGAATTGGCATTTCGGCTAAAGTTTGGAGGATAAAGTGTCAGTGGAGGCTGATACTTACGGGTGAGTGTCAAAATCGTAACGGCAGTATTAGGGAAGCGTCCTAGACTGACGGTGAGAGATAGTGGATAGTGGATCGGAGTATCTCCGGCCAGCACGTTGTCTGTAGTGCAATGCTGAGTTAGCTTGGAGAGCGGCTGCACTAGAATTCTTCCCTTGCCTTTAGCGCCAAGGAAATGGTCACCTAGGTAGTGTTGTTGTTCCTCCCTGTGGTTCTACCTAGGATTTGACTCCTATCCACGGGCTCGGGTCCAACGTGATATAGATAAGCTGCAATGAACTGCCGACTTCACATTCACGCTCTCGGTTTTTTTTCCTATTTTCTGGTTAAATTTAACCAACTTGTCGCTGATTAGGTTGTGCGACGTACAACCTTTAAAGTCGTGCAGGAGCGACTCATGCCGCTCATTCCTTTGTTCAGTGTCTGGAGCCGATGCAGCTTACTGGCATAACATGTTTCGTCCGGGAGTACGCGGGTAGCACTACCGATGATGTGGCATCTAATCAGATTTGTGCATTCCCTTTGTTGTCGGACTTTCCAGGCGCCGAGCATACCGTATTGAGCAACATTCATGTCCGGTTGGAGGCACCGATCGTTCTTGTTTCTGAGCTCATCAGACGTCCCGTCGTCCGGCGTGGATGAGAGAACCAACAGTTGTTTCAAGGGATTTATTGAAAGTTAAGGCGTCCTGAAGACGCCTAAGCGTAACCTATAAGTTTGCAGGTAATACGGCAGTTGATCACGGGGGCTAAACATCTATGTTGCGTTACCTCGATCTCGACGCGAACGACTCAAGGCGTTGTCCAACGTGGGCGCATGCTCTACTGCTCCTACTTTTCCCCACGAAAACTCTGAAGCTGACACACCTTCTTCTAGGAGGTTTGACGCCACTCAGAGACTTCTATGCAGGCCACTTCGTATGGCGCAACACATTACAGCTTCCAATCGAGGTCCTCTAGTGCAAATATTTACCTGGTTCTTTTTCTTCGTCGGGTTGTTCTTCTTCGTGGTTCGGCTGGTGACGAAACACGCTCTGGCATCCCCATACAAAATTGAAGATGCTATTATCATCGTAGCTATTGTCAGTATTCTTTTTTAATCACCCCGATACCATCTTCTCACTCGAATAGATTTTGAGTTTAGGCCAATCGATTGCTGTTTCCGCTGCAGTATCGAACGGCTTGGGCAAGCCTTTGGAGTCGCTGAATGAAGCACAAATCGAAGCTACCTTGAAGGTAAGCTTGATGCAGTGGCATTATCGGTCTCGCTGATCTTCAACCAAGTCGCAATATGTGGCAATTATCCTTCTTATTGCATGTCTCGGCACGACGAAGCTCTCGATTGCAGTCTTTGTAAAGGGCCTGAGTCCGGATGTTCATCACCATAGGTACTCAAATTGGATCGGCCTCTCGTCCCTCGTCTGGATGGTCATTGGGCTCATTTCCGCCATCTTCCAATGCTCCCCTCCCCACACGTGGGATCCTTTGAATGGAAACCACTGCGTCAACTTAGTGAGATTGCTTCCTCTCTCTATACTTCAAAGTGATGTCGCTGACTGGGACAGAGAGCTTGGTGGACATTCATTGCACTTGGTAACATGCTCACTGATGTCTTCATTGTCGCTGTTCAGTTCTTCTTGCTGTGGGGAGTCCAGTTGCCCATGTCCAACAAATTCATCCTTTTTTCGATATTCTCCTTTCGCCTCGGGTAGGTGCTCCCCAAGAATGTGTAAGTGATTCTAACGAATCGCAGAGTCGTCGGGGCTACCATCGCTCAACTGTATGTCTACTACCAGTCATTCGATAGCCTCGACATAACATTGAGGGCGTGGCTACCGGCGTTGTTGAATCAACTCATCCAGTCTCTAAGCATTTCAACGGCTTGCATACCGCATTTGAAACGGTTTTTGGATAGTTTAGAGTCCGGTATGATCCGGGTCAGGGAGCCTAGTAGGATGGATAATTCGCAGGTAGGAACGGAGCTAGGGGGGGTTGGAGGCAGCAATTCAACTCGAGCATCGAGCAAGAAGCAGCGAATATCAGGATCATTGTTGAGATAGGCATAGCTTGAATTAGCAAATCATACCTTCCCCTTGTAAATCGTGAATTTTGGACTGTAAGTATAACACGGCGATGAAGAGAATTGACAAATGATCACGAAACTAAGAATAGACAACTTATGCTTCCTTCCTGTTTTGGACCCCGAGGGAATGCCATCCTTCGCCCTTCTCCGCATTGTACGCCTGACCCTTGCAGCCGCTGTGCCACATTCGGGATTATCACCCCGAATTTCCCACATGCAGCGGAGTTTGGTGTTAAACACGCCGTACTCGTATGACATGCGCCTATTCATATGGAGAACCGCTGTCATGGAATTCAGGCTGGATGGAATTTCCAGATACCCTGGTTCAGGAGTGAGGTCGCGCTACCTTTGATGCTTATCACCCCTCGGTTCAATCGCAGCTAGGTTCTTGATTGAATTGAACATCTCGAATCTTTGTCTTGACCATTTTTCTAATCAACCATGTCGAAGCATTCTGAAGTCGTTGAATTGGAGCCACGTAGTGGCGGTTACGTTCGTGACGATGTCGCCCTTGCTCGTTTGGGGAAGAAGGCGGTGTTGAAGGTTCGCCCTATGAATAACGCTCGACAAGTTTCATGCAACGCTGAGTAAAGTAGAGAAACTTTGGTTCCATCACAATTTTGGGGTTTAGCTGCACCGTTCTCATAACATGGGAGAGTTGCTTACAGTAAGTATGTGCATTCTTAAGTCAATGATCGGCCTGCTGACTTTGTAGGGTTTTTCTCCTGGGACTGCAAAAGTTTGTAAACACTCTATACCAGATGCGTGAGATATTAACGAAAGTAGTGGTGGGCCAGCTGCTTTAGTTTATGGGTTCATAATTGTGTGGGTTGGAACACTCTCAGTATTCGCTACACTCTCGGAACTTGTCTCGATGTAGGTTGAATTCTTGGTTCGATAGAGAAATACCGGTTGATATGCTCCTTCAGGGCTCCAACATCTAGCGGGCAGTACCATTGGGTTTCAATGTTAGCACCTCAGTCATCGCGTAAAGTGCTGAGCTATATTACTGGTTCGTATCTAGCGCCACATCAAATTTATAGACCTGAAGGCTGACAATTCAAGGGTGGCTTACCGTCTGTGGATGGCAAGCCTTGGTGGCGTCTGGCGGCTACATAACCAGCACCTTGATCCAAGGAATAATTGTTCTAACTCACCCCTCATATCTCGTGAGCTGGAAGAATTGGCATGGCACGCTCCTATACTGGGCAGTTTTATTGGTCTGCGTGCTCATAAACACAGTCGTTGCCAGTCTCCTACCAAAATTCGAGGGACTCCTGCTCGTGCTCCACATTTTGGGTTTCTTTGGAGTCGTGTTTCCTCTCGTGGTTCTTGCGGACCATTCTAACTCCGATTTCGTATTCAAGACCTTCATCTATGATGGTGGTTGGTCATCAAATGGGATTTCATTCTGTGTTGGTATGCTCGGGAACGTTTTCGCTTTCATGGGTAAGAAATCATTTTAACTTGAGAAATCTGAAGCCGTATGCTAATTTTCATAGGCGGAGATGCAGCAATCCATGTGAGTAACTAGCCATTCCCCATGCTTTGGTGCCTTCCAAGCCTTATACAGCGCGCAGATGTCCGAAGAAATTCACAACGCTGCTACTGTTGTTCCTCGCTCAATCTTGGGAAGTGTCGTTATCAATGGGGTCTTGGGCCTAGCCGCAATGATCGCCACACTTTACTGCATCTCCGACCTAGATCTAGCTTTGGCCGAGAATCCAATGTATCCGTATATGTCGATATTTCGCCAAGCTGTAGGGTCGTTATCAGGGGCGGCAGTAATGTCCGGACTCATTGTAGTCATGTCATTCAGCGCGACAACCGGTATTTTGGCTTCTTCGTCACGAATATTCTGGGCATTTTCACGTGATAGAGGCTTGCCAGGATGGAAATACCTAGAAAAGGTCAGTTAGATGCGCAATTATTCTTCGCTTCCTTGCGTGCCCAACTAAGCAACTCACCGCTCAGGTTGATCACCGGACGGGTATCCCTCTCTGCTCGGTAGCAGTGACGTCTGTCATTGCTTCTGTCCTCGCGGTGGTAAACATTGGAGACCCAGCAGCATTCAATGGTGTCATATCTCTGACTATTGCCTCCCTCTTCGGATCCTACTTGATCGCCGCTACTCTCTTATTATATCGTCGTTGTAACGGCGAGATCGGCGAGGCCGATGATGCACAATCTGACGGTGGTCTTACCAACACTATTGGTGCCAATTTAACGTGGGGCCCTTGGAAGTTACCCGGCGCGATTGGAATCGCAAACAACATCTTCGCGTGCTGTTATCTTGGTTTTATTTTCTTCTTCAGCTTTTGGCCTTCGAAGACGCCAGTAACTCCCAAAAACATGAACTGGGCGGTGTTAGTGACTGGAGTGGTTGTCATTTTTAGCACACTGTACTATGTTATATGGGCTAAGAAGACTTACAATGGGCCGGTGGTAGAGGTACAAGATTGATGGACGGATAGAGCAAGTGCGGATTGTGATAGCAGAACTGGGACAACAAATAGATAAGGAGAGTAGTGCCGTATCAATACCTGTACAATAAACGAGGTCACCAAGTATTCCAGAGTGTGAGTAGAAGTGTCTCACTTTGTGTTCGCATGTGTGGGTTACGCGGTATTAGCACTTTCCCGCTCCCGAGGCAACCATAGGAGACACCTGCGGCGCTCATGTGCTTGTTGAGGCACTCTGTATCCCTCCAATGATATCAGCTGCCTTCTCAGCTAAAGCATATGCAGCGCATTGGTAATGAACTGTGATAAGGAGTGGGAAGACGCTCGCATCGTCAAACCAAACCTTCTACACCCTTGCCTATAAGTATCTTGTCTACCGCAATTCCCAGGGCTAATCCTAGAGATAATTAGGGTTTGTGGCATCTTATATGCTCGGACATATACACTTATCTCATCAGATGCCATGATGGCGCTCCCGCTCACTAATTCCACTCAGGCAGCGACCTTCTTCCCATTCCGCTTTTGTACCATGATGTGGTTAACCACCGTATCACCGATAGCGTAGATTTCTAATATGGTAGACTTGACTGGCAAGTTGACGTTGGCCGTTGTGACAGTTTTCGACAAGCCCTAAGAGCCCTAGACGTAAGCCAGCATTAGCACCCATTCTCTCTTCCTGGAGCTAACTCGAGACCATACAGACTGCAAAGGATCCCTCAAAGGTTATTCAGAGACTGACTACTGGCCGAAGCTGAAACGTTGTGAGTAGGGGTATCGAATCCGTGCTCCGATGAATCTACTTTGAGCGTGTTTTCTTGGTGTGTTCCCGTCTTCCGGAAATAGGGAAGGAATCCATCATAACTCCGTTCGGTAAAATCAACAGGGTTTACCCATAAGTTGTAGTCGGTGCATTTTCCACGGGTCTAAGTGCCACAGTTCGTAGAGCTACCTCCTGAGTGCGCTCACCAATGACGGTGTAACAGCATCGATCCCCGAAATGAAGCTGTGGGACGCTTGAATACACCTGATGAAGCTCAGAATAGTGACACGAGAAGTAGGCGAGAGGCGATTATATTTAAAGAGTGACTAACATCGTCCTTTCCGGCTCTAATAATGAGAATACTGAGCGAGTTGTTATTCCCGAGCAACTGAAAGGCTAGCACACAACCCGAAACCTACCACCTTTGTAGCTGATTCCGCCTTCTTGGGCTTAAAAGTCAATGATAGTGGAATACTGAAGAGTATGAAGATTTAATACAGATGGTACGAGAAGAGGATCCGGAAAGTCATATAGTCCTGCTGTGCCGCACGGTGTCGACCGACGGGCTACCATTGTTACTGATTAAGTGACCGAGTGGCATTGCGGCACAGTGATGAGTTCCAAAAATATGCAACATCGAGGCGTGACTTGCAGGGATACAGACAAGTACTTTGTAGTCCGGAAAGAAATTGCTGACGAGCACGAAATCGGGCGGAACAAGATGTACAATGAGTGGAGAGACGTCCAATGTTTACATGTAGTTATCAATAATCGAGGAGGGGCACGACTCAAAACGGGCCCACTAATTGGTTTCATCATTTTCAGAAGCGGCATTGAGGCAAACAACCTGGGATGGGTAGTGGAGACATAGAAGGCATGGCCCGCAAAATAGTATGTTGATGAGCTGTGGAAAATTCCTGTAGCAAACCAAATCCTTTCGTCGAGCCGTGATCACACTCATCCATGTTGATTTGGTAGGCTGGAGACAGATACCCGGTCTTGGTTCGAGTGGAGCAAACGCCCAGGTTTGCTCTAGCGCTGCAATTTGGGCTTCAAGAATTATGTTAGTTTGTCTTTTAATGCAAAGCCCAATCAATTAATGACAGCAGTGAAAGCAGGGGGTGAAGGAAGAGAGGGTGAAGCCAATTAATTAACGTGTTTTATTAGTAAGCTGCGCACATCTATTGTGTGCAAAAATCAGGAAATTTCTTAGCGTTCCTTAGATCTTTTTTTCCCCTACTAAAATTGTATAGGAGATTAGAATCTTAATAGAATTCCTAATATATTAATAAATAATAATTAGATTAGCCCTAAGTAAGTTAATGTTACAATCCTTACTCTAGTGAAATGGTATTTTTCAGGAGTACGACGGCCTATGGGGTGTTAGCGAAAAGGGGGATAGAACTTAGCTAGATTAGGTGTACAGTCTGTTAAGCAGAGTGTAGAGTAGGCGCGATAAAGAAGGCAGGTTGTGGTTTAACCTAGCAGCTGTATAGAGAGCTAGTAAACCTAATCTATAAAGATAAAAATAGAGGTATATATAGTGCAAGATATATAAGGTAGTAGTGTCCTTTTTATAAAAGTTTTAATGCTTCTTAGTCTATTAAGTAGGTAAAGACTAAATAGTAATTATAACCTTCTAACTATAGTTATAATTAAGACTATATACATAGAGTTTACATGCTTTGCATGCTTACATGTTTGCCTGCTTACTTAGCCTACATAACCTGCAAGCCTACAAACCTGTAAGGCTTATTAGATAATGCATTCTACTAGGCTTTTATTTAAAAGCTAAAGCTATTCCTTATCTGTCTTATTATGTAACTTGCTTAGCGTAGGGCTAAGCGTCTTCTATCTAACGTTGCTTAGGCTGTGTAGGACAGCTAGTTAGGTTATTATAGTCTAATTATTAGCTGTAACATGTAGGCTTTTTTTCTAGTTAGCGTTCTTACTGTTATATTTTTTTATTATAGGCGTTAGATTTTCTTTTTAGCTAGTGTGTTCTCTTTTTTAAAAGCTAGCCTAATGTTAAACCTTTTTAACTATGCCTTACTAGGCTTTTTATTTTTCTACTATTGCCTATTATCTTTATACTATTACTTATCTTAACTCTTTTTATTGCATAAAAATGCGTCTTTATAGTGCTTATTATTTAAGCAGGTCCTTTTACGTAATGTCCTTATTATTAGACAAGTATGTAGAGTGTGTATAAAAGAGCAGTTATTATAACGCTTTTATGTCTAACATAGCTTAGAATTATTTAGAATAGGAGCGTAAAAAGCTATTAGCAGAGTTAGAGGTAATTTAGAAAGATAAAATGCGTAAAAAGAAAGAAAAGGTAAAGATAAAAAAAAAGTTTTTAAGAAAGTAAAAGGATTTACTTACACATTTTTAGTTTTTTATTACTTATTAAAAAAAAGTGTAGCAATAATTAGATCTTTTAGTAGATTAAAAAGTAAAGTATTTAAAAAAAGACTTTTTATTACTAGATAAGCTTAAAGCGCTTAAGGTAAAAGTAGCTAGTCTTTTTTCTTTTTAACTTATGTTAAAGGGTTGCAAACTTTCTACATTATAGCTAGCTAATGCTACTACAGTTTTAACTAATAATTGTGTTTTCTAGTCTAGAGAGCTTTCTCTAGGATAGTTTTATTTAAAAGAGACTCTAGGTATTTGTAAAAGGCCTAAGAAGCATTTAATAGGCTCTTAATAAGTTTTTAAGTGTTTTTACTAGTAAGCTATCTTTTTTATTTTACTAAGTACTTATTTTTTTTATAGTCTAAAATCTTTTTTACTTTATATTTTTTTTTCTCTTCTTTTTATCTAGTAGTTGTAAGTAAAATAGTCTTAAGCATAAGTTTAAGCTTAAAGATATAAAACTAAAAATGTATTTACATTTTTTTTAGTAGTTTAAGTTTATAAATGCTAGGGCATGTTTATATAACTCTGTATAGTCTTATGTGTTTTTTAGCTAGCTTTTTAAAAGGTTTTAGAGTTTTAAGATTCTTTATGTTTAAATATACATAATTATTAAAGTGTATTTTTAGTGCTAGTTTTTTTTTCTAATTTATTACTTTTTTTTATAGCTTTTTAGGCTAACTGCGCTTTTCTAGTAAGTTTTTAATGCAGCTCTAAAAGTCTAGTTGCGTAGTTTATAGCTTCTAAAAAATTAGTTAGTTGTAAGCCTTAAAGTTTATATTATAAAGAGTATCTAAAATTAGCTTTATATAGGGTTTCTTTAGTTATAGCTAATTCTGTAGTGTTAATAGCAAATTATGCTATTAGTAGCTATTCTGCCTAATTTATTTATTTATATAATACATACTTGCGTAGATATTTTTCTACTTCTATGTTTACTCTTTCTGTTTGTCTGTTTATTTGCAGGTAGTAGGCAGTAAAGAGTTTATAGTTAATTCTAAAATGTTTAGTTACAGCTGCCTAGAATTTGCTAGTAACGTACTTCATAGGCGAGTTGCTCACACACCTGAGTCGCTCACTTTTGCCAAGACCCCACCCTAACACACTCTATTATAGCCTATAACAACCTGCTCTAGCACTATATAGTACAGTACAGCCTAGAATATTATTTAGATACTACTTCTGCTTCTTGCTTACATGTTTACGCGTTATGCCTAGTCTAATTGCACTATCTGCAGCGCCTTTAGGATAGCTTACCTACTTTAGCTTACACCTGCTTCTTTGCCTTCTTTCTATTACTGCGCGCTCTAAACTCCTTTAGAGCTGTTAAGTGTAGGCCTTTTTAAATTATTAAGGTCCTTTTTGCTTTAATCTGCTTTTTTTTATGTAATTTACATTATGTAGCAGCCTTATTAGCTACTTAAAGCTTAGTAATTTCCTGTTACACTAACACTAGCTTATATGTAATTATTACTGCCCTCTTTAAAACCTTTTTAAACACCTTAACTATAGAAGTTAGTAAACTATTTATATACTTCTAAATTTTTATTTTTATAAGCATTAATTATAACCTAAGTTCTAGAGTATTACTTAAGGGTTGCAACTACTAGGGCTTATTATATATAAGTAGTAGTAGTAATAGAGTGCGTAACTTTACATTAAGGCCTATTATAACCTATTATAGGTTAAAAGAAACTAATCTAGCGCCTTAGAACCTTTCTTAGATATTACTAAAAGTAATTACAGCATTATAAGCTACTTTAAAGCATAGTAAAAACTTTATTTTTATAATATAAGTAATCTAGTTGCGCATAAAGTTTTTAGCT